CGGATTGTTGGGGGCAAGAGGCTGACTCTGTAAACCGCTTAGAGAGGGCTGAAAGCCCTACGAAGTGGTATATAAGTCTAAGTCTTACTGCTATTTTCTATTCCATCCACGAAGCGCCCGTATCTTGGTCACCTCCAAATGAGAGTGTAAGAAAAGATTCCGTCTCTTTCATTTCTCCTCCCGATTAATTCAACTTGAAAAGAAGTGAAGGATGATTTCAGACCACCAGCTTACGAAGAGCAAAAGCGATGACTTAAACGGGATCTAATATCACAGAGGGAATATATCTGCTGGATATAGCTCCTCATTGGCAACAGGAATGGCATCTGGCCACTAAATTCTCGTTCCTTTCAGTTGCCCAAGACTCCACCCCACAAGGGATTATGGGGTCGTTAAAAGAGGATGAAGAAGAAAAATGCAGTTCTTATCTTTTTTTTCTTTTGCTAAGATCTGCTCTTCGGCTTTGGGGAAATCAAGAAATGAGGCCATGCTTCTGAAAAGGTCCCAGTGGGCCTCATTATCCTCCTACCCAACTCCCTTTTGACCACTTTGATCATAATAGAAAAGACGAAATAAGGTGTCCTTAGGCTTAAGACTAAAGGTGGTTCAGTGGCTAAGATGCTGAGCTGGTCGATCAGAAAGGTCGGCAGTTCGGCGGTTCGAATCCCCAGCGAGGCATAACGGAGTGAGCTCCGGTGACCTGCCCCAACTTCTGCCAACCTAGCAGTTCGAAAGCACGTAAAAATGCAAGTAGAAAAACAGGAACCACCTTTGGTGGGAAGGGAACAGCATTCCGTGCGCCTTCAGGAGTTGAGTCATGCCGGCCACATGACCACGGAGACGTCTTCGGACAGCTCTGGCTGTTTGGCTTTGAAACAGAGATGATCACCGCCCCCTTGAGTTGGGAACAGCTAGCACATATGTGCGAGAGGAACCTTTAAATTTAGGCTTAAGACAGGCTGAGATTTGTTCTTTTCGTAGGCTAACAAAGAAATGGGTTTCTATCAGCTAAGTCTACTATCCTTGACCACGTTTCCTTGTAGCATCTTTCTCCTCTCTTCTCTTTTCCTAAATGTGTGCACTTCATTTGATTACGGTAAAGGGAGGCATGTAGTAGTAATTAATAATAATCCCCCCCCCCAAATTGAATTATCTCCATTTTGGAACTCAACAACTCCTGATTTAATAGACTTTGCCTTGGTGTTTTCTTGGCAGTTCCGAGTTACTCTTTGGCCACTGCATTCTTCGAGAATGGGGTTTTATTTGATATGATCATCATTATGACTACCTATTTTTACTGTTTGAAGAGATCCTTACGAGCTGGGTAGCTCTGCTAAGGCTTGGAAGCCAAGCGTCTCTTGACTTTTGAGTAGATCGACTGTGATAAGATCTGCTGGATTTTTGTTAACCATTCCATCTTTGTCTGAATGGACAAAATAATCCTGGAGAACTTTCTCCAATGAAATAAATAAATAAAATAGAACTAAATAAACTCCCAAAAGCAAGAGAGGGATTGAGAGAGAGAGAAAAAGTTAGACCTCAACGAAAACCTTCCTAGCTGATTGATGGATTGATGGATGGATGGATTTTGAATTTATTGGCTGCCCAACTCCTAACTAACTCTCTTTAAAAGCTGGGATACGATGTAGGCTTAGCTGAATACAAGCCCCATTGCATTCTATGGGATTGCTTTCGAAAGTAACTGGGACATCTGAACTCTGCGGTGCTATTGTTTCGACTCTTGAAGCCCTGAAAATTGAGTGTATGTGTGACACATAGACACATAGACACACACACAAACACACACACAAACATCCACCCCCAGGATGCAATTTTTGCCTTTTTGACCTCATTTGGATAGTGCTTCCCTTTTTTTTGGACATCTTCAAATTTTGTTTCCTTTTTGAGCATCAACCCACTTCACCTTGCAAATTAGAGTCAGCAGGAGCCAAATCGATTAAAAAAAATTCCCAATCCTATGTGCAAAAAATGGGGTCTGGTCTGTGGGAGTGGGGGTGGAATACGAGGGAGGGAGGGAGGGTGGGAGAAATTGAATCTTTTTTTTTTGCCAAAAAAGAAAAAAGAAAAGTCTGCGCAGAAATATCTATCTATTCTATCTAGATCGACATGTTTTCTTTGGAGGTTTGTTTTAAGGGATATTTGTGTAATAGCTTTGCTAATGCCTTTCTCTGATTTTACTAAAACCATTAATAACCTCAGCTTTCCAAGCTTGATTCCACTCTCCTTTGCAGCTGCTTGACTCAACCTTTCACCCCTGGTCATGATGCTTTGAGTGTCTCTGTTGCTCTCTTACATTCGCTCTCCCGCCCTCCACCGCTCAGCGCAAAAAATAAATAAATCTGTGAGCCTTATCCACGTAGGTAGCCAAAATTAGCTTTCTCTCTTTTCTCTCCTCTGTAAAAGCTTGGCAATTTTTGCAATGATGGAACTGGGGGGGGGTCTCCTCCTTCCAAACGCTGGCGTTCCAACCTGGGTTTGAAGAAGGACCAAGAGGAGGGTGGGGGCTTTGTAGAAGACATTTCGACATCCTTTCCGGGAGTTTCAAAAGGATGGTGGGGACCAAGGGATGGCCAGGAGTTTGGGAGCGTTCGTCAACAAGCTGGATTCTATCCATGGTATCTTCTTCTTCATCTTCCCAGTCTAAATTGGGGAAGGGGGTGGGGGAATTCTGAGACCGGAGAAGTTTGAGTTTGGGTAGTCTCCTTGTTCCTCCCATTCTACTTTTGGAACTCCTGAAAAGGAACAGCCGTTGGCTCTCGACTACAGAAGCGTGTTTGCTGTTCCTGCTACCTACATGGCAAATGTTTACATCACAGGCCAAAACAGCCATGCATGTTATTTTATACATTAGTACTAAGAGCAGTGGTGGCGCAGTGGTTAGAAGGCAGTATTGCAGGCTGCTCCTGCCGGCTGCCAGCATTTCAGCAGTTCGATGCTGACCGACTCCAGGCCAACTCAGCCTTCCATCCTTCCGAGGTGGGTAAAATGAGGACCCAGATCGTTGGGGGGGCAAGAGGATGACTCTGCAAACCGCTTAGAGGGGGCTGTAAAGCATTGCAAAGCGGTTTATAAGTCTAAGCGCTTATTGCTATTTTCTGGCAGAAAAAAAAACACTATAATTTTTCCCCCCTTTGCGATTCTCTCCCCCCCCCTCTTTTTTTTTCTGGAGAAAGCCATTTGCAAACTTGTCCCCTCCACCACCACCACCCTTTGCAAAGTTCTCTAGAATGGATCCAAGAAGAAGAGACTCATCTTCCAGAATATTTAACAATTGTTTTTAAAAAAAAGAAAGGTGTCATCCTGGGGATAAGTAGCAGGGATCAAGTAAACCCTCTTCTGGCGTCAGCTCTGTGAAAATGCACCCAAAAAGCCACACAAATGTCTTTGCTTTTTTTGCAAAAGCGCCTTCTGTCCAATTCGGCAGTAAAGGTAACCATGGGAATTTGGACAGGCCGAAGCGCACCAGATGTGGAGGTCAACAGCTGTCTCAAATCTGCCTGCCTCTAAGCTTCCTAGGTTTGTTTGCAACATTTATGATAACCGTGCTGTGTTTGGTCTCATGTTTTAAGTGTTAAATATATATATACATGCGTATATATTTAACGGTGCCGAATTAATCTTCAATGTGCTTTTCTTTTTTTGCTACCTGCTTATTCTCCTGTCATTCCTAAGCCATGCTGCTTCCAGTCATCTCGTTGCCTTACGTAGTAATTTAACAAATGTCTGTTTGCTGTTTAACCAAAGTATTATTTTCTTCATTTTTTTTTTTTTAAACTGCTGAGTTTTGAAGCCTGAATTGAAAGTACGGCAGGAAAATCTGACCCTTGTGTGCCAACCGGGGCAATGTATTCCATTCATGGCTACCTGTAACAGATTGCAT